CTATTTTCCAGCTGTTTTCCTCCCCAAATTTTGATTATAGTATCTTCGGCCACTCCTTTTGAGGGTACATGCCTCTTTCTTGCACAGACCTTGACTGATACAATAATTTATTAAATTTTTACAGGGCAAAGCAGGTATACAATACTTTTTTTAATGTAAAAATCTTTATCCTTTCTTGAGGTTGATTTTATTTTATACTTCTAGGAATGTTAATATCAGGAGGTCTGAAACAGCTGGAAAATAGAACCTAAGTTTATGATATACATCTTTCTCTGTTTTGGGGGAAGGGGGTGGGGGGGAGTGGCTGGCCAGGACTGGGATCAAGCTGTGGACCTTGGTGTTATCAGTACCATGCTCTCACCAATTTAGCTAACCGGCCAGCCAAAATGGCTTCTTTTTTTTTTTTTCTCCTTGGCAGCTGGCCAGTAAGGGGATCTGAACCCTTGACCCTAGTGTTATAACACTGTGCTGTAACCAACTGAGCTAACCAGCCTGCTTCCCTGTTTTCTACCTGCTCAAATATTTAGATAAAAAAATCAGCTTACAGTTGATTTCATAATTATTTTTCCAATTAAAAAGGAATACACATTTATTTTAGATTTTTTTCAAGTGAACACAGTATGAAAAATATTTATAATCCACTAGGTAGAGAAAAATCACAGTTAAAATTTTAGTGAGTTATTTCCCATCTAATATATCTATCTAGAGAAGGAAAATTACCCTGTAAATATATTTTCCAATATGTATAATATGTATATACATTGTGTGTGCAAATACATATTGTGGATGTGACTCTCATTCCATAAAAAGAAATATTGCATTTCTTTTTTTTTGGTGACTGGTAGTATTGGGATCTGAACCCTTGACCTTGGTGTTATAACACTGCACTCTAACCAGCTGAGTAACTGGCCAGCCTGAAATATCACATTTCTTTAGATCAACTTGAATCTAACCTTGAGCTCCCATTTTGCCATGTGGTGGGCATGAGCAGTTCCTCTTCATCCAGGGTTGTACAAAGTTTCCAGGGCCTTGATTTTTGTGGAAGTACCTGGAATTACCTCAAATTATTTGGTCATCTGTCCACATTGATTTGCTGCTATGATTCCCTTTTGTGCTATCTTCCCTTCAGATCTGATGATTC